AAATAAGTTAACCTTTTCAGCTCCAGTGGCTGTTTATACTAGTCATGCCCTGCAGACAATTATTGACAATAAGGGACATTTATGGATCAGCAATCAGAGGATGCATAAGATACAGTTCCCTTTTATTAGAAAATCCATAAGTTACACTGCAACAGTGCTCAACTCTCAATCCAGCCACTCTCATGCCAATACCAGATTCAACTATGTCCGTGCATAACTGCGTGCAAACAATAGAACTACAATATTCTTGCAGACCTGACCTTACGGACCAACCATTGCATAATCCAGACTTTCAGTGGTTTACTGATGGATCTAGCTTTATAGATCAAGGAATTAGATACTCTGGTTATGCAATTGTTTCTCAAACTGCAACTATAGAGTCAGCACAGTTACCTAGCCAAGAAAGTGCACAATTTGCAGAACTATATGCCTTAACCCGATCATTAGAAATAGCTGCAGGAATAACTTTAAATGTATTTACGGACAGTAAATATGCATTTTTGACAATTCACGCACATACAGCAATATACAAAGAAAGAGGATATTTGGACTCCACAGGCAAGATTATCCAATATGCAACTTTGATTAGACTTATTAAGGCAGCTCAATTGCTGTCCAAAGTTGTGATCATGCATTGTCCTGGACATCAAAAAGATTCAAGCCTTATTACCCAGGGCAATAGGAAGGCAGACAAAGAAGCCAAGAGAGCTGTGTTAGAAGGCCCCCCTCTCCAGTCAGATGTCACCAGGTTCATGTATCTAGACACTTACTTAGAACACCTTGATCCTACATATAGGAAAAAGGAAAGCCAAAAGTTGAAGCAGGATGTACAAGCCGAACTGGTTAAAGGCTGGTACACCCTTCCCAATGGACGCATTGCTGTTCCTCTGGCGCTTGCCCGCCCCCTTATTTTTCAAACCCATAAGCAACATCATCTGGGAAAAACTGCATTATTACAACAGCTTGAACAATTTTTCCATCTTCCCTTTGCTTCTTTGCTAACAGCTCAAGTATATTCTCAATGTTCCATTTGTGCCCAAACCAATGCATGCCAAGGACCGATAGTACCACCTGGTGAATAACCAATCGCTTATTTTCCAATGGACTATGTTGTTGTTGATTTTACTGATACGCCTAGGAGTAAGAAATATGTAGCCCTGTTAGTAATAATTGATATCTATTTAGGGTGGATTGAGGCCTTTCCGACTGTAAATAAGAAAGCTATACAGGTTGCCAGAATGTTTCTAAAAGAAATTATTCTTATATTTGGTTGCCCTTCTAGGATTTCATCAGATAATGTCCCAGAGTTTGTACACCAAATTAACAAGGCTTTAGCCCAGGCATTAGGAATCAAGTGGAGATTTCACTGTGCCTTTCACCCCCAATAGGCTGGAAGGGTGGAACGTGCTAATTGCACAATTAAAACCCTAATTACCAAATTTTGTTTGGAAACTCATCTCCATTGGCCAGATGTTTTGCCTATGGTTTTGTATGCAATCAGACTGCCCCCCCCCCGCACTAAATTACAACTTAGTCCTTATGAGCTTATGTTTGGCCGTCCCCCTTGTCTATTTAAACTTGACAGTCAGGGCTGGCTGGACTTGGCTCATAAGGGGGGAATAGACCAACAGAAATTGTTACATCAGTTACAGCTTCATAATTTAGCTGTTTCAAATTTGCGCCATTATATGATGGAACAACAACCGCTCCAGTGGTCACGGCAACACATGGGTTCAAACCAGGAGATAAAGTATGGGTGAAACATTGGAAATCAGACCCCTTGAGCCCAAGATGGAAAGCATCATGTACTGTTGTTATGTGTTCTCCTTTGGCAGTGAAAATCTTGGAGGGAAAGTCCACTGGAGTAGATTGAAGCAGCTGCACCTGCCAATCCAGTAACTTACAAAGTAGATAAAACTAACAAACCTTTGGTGTTGAAATTTACAAGAAACACACCCTGTCGAACCCTACCAGCAATGGGTTCTCAACACACGGTGTGAACAACGAACCCTGCTGAGACACCCCGGAAGCTATCTCTCTACGCACGGTGGAAGACATGTGGATTCTACAGCTCATAATATCTGTTAGTTATTTAATATGGGGAACATACACACACAAAGAAAGAACAAAAACACAGGGGAACCAGGGTTGTCGAAACTGCATCAAGATTACAAAACAAGGAAACCAGATAACTAAGATTTTGATTTATTATACAATGAAACCAGAAGGGTGCCAAGATAGTTCCCCTAGCTCCTGTACATACAATAGAACTACATAAAAAGTTTGTAGAAAAGGGGTCCAAGAGCAGTGTTATAACCCGAAGTCTGATCCTGACAGCTGGGCCTTGCAGATCCGAACACATAGAACAAGAGGGAGCCCTAGGGATCAGGCACTATTAGGGATATCCCAATGGAAATCCAACCCACACTCCAGTTTTAGCGTCACCTTTGATGTTTGTAAGGCAGCTAATTATTGGGCTGCAATATATGGTTGTGGAGGGATCGATTATATCCACAGCTATATCCCAAACCATAAGTACTTGTGCCCACCGGATGGATGTGCAGTCTCAATGGTCAGATGTAAGTGGTGGTCATGTATTAAGTGGCATACCCAAGACCCGAAGGAGATGGAACACATCTTGTTTGAAAAGAATAATACAAAAGCAGACTCCTGTGGAAGGGACAACTGTAATTTGGTGACTCTCACAGTCAAGAATGGCAGTTGGTTCCTGGAACAAAATAGATGGGAAAGAAAAAACTGGATGTTTGGGATAGGAATAGATGCCAACGTCTACGACCCAATATCAGAATTAGAAATCAAAATTATAACTGCAACCAAAAATTCAGAACAAAAATAATTATTCTGGTCCTATTATGAGCAAATGGAGAAGACAAATATTCCTGAAATACCTAGACAAGTAGTCAATACCTTTGTTAAGTTAGCTGAAGATATTGCCCATACTTTAGGCGTGTCTAACTATTTTGTGTGTGGTGGAACAAAAATGGGAGAAAAATGGCCATGGGAGGCACAAGAGTTAAATTATGCCAAGGTACAAAAATGTCTGAGAATAATAGTTTAACCTATACAAGTGGGAAAGATGGTGATTGGACTCTCACTTCCAACTTGGTAGGACATGTATGTTACTCAAGGAACAAAACAGAATCTTGTGTAGCAGTAGGTGACCTCCTATGCACAGGGACTTGGGAAAACAATAAATGGTGGTCTGGAATCAACGAAACCACTACTAGGGATCATTATGCTCTTACCAACTTATCTGGGATGCCATACCTAAAAGACCCCACAAATACCAGTCTCCTTTGGCTAGCCCCAGATGGAATATACTGGATTTGTGGAAAAATGGAATAAAGCTGTGTTAGCAGTCTGTGACTAACCAAATGCTAATTGCACTTGGAAACAATGTATGTAGCAGATTCTCCATTGTATGCCCGTGAGAAATGAATCTAATATGTGAGAAATTAATCTGATGTATTACAATATAGATTTCTATGTGTGGTCCTTTGTTCCTGAGAAAGGGAAAGTATAAAACTGTAGTTTAAACCTGCCCTCAGTGTTCAGAATTGCTTGTCTTCACTGTTTCTGAACCTTGTGCAATAAATCTCTCTGCTACACCCTCTGGAATTTGTAAAAGTCTCTTTCGTTTTCTACAAGAGTACAGTGCCATATTGATAGCACCATCTGCCAATCTATTTGTGTGCTATGAAAATTGCAACAGGTCAAGCAGGGGATACCTAATAGCTTTCAGGTGAGCCAGCATTAACATTTTGAAAGTTTTCATAACTATGAATGTCAGAGCAACAGTCTGTAGTCATTCAGCTCCTTGATGGAGGGTTTCTTAGGCACAGGGATGATAATAGAGCATTTAAAACAAGAAGGGACATAACACAGCTCCAGTGATTTATTAAAGATGCAGGTGAAGATAGGGGCCAATTGATCACCACAGACTTTCAAGGAAGAAAGTTACCTTATCTTGGCCTGGTACTTTTCCAAATTTTTGTCTGTGAAATAGACCTCACACTTTTTTTTCCTGTGATCATCAAAAGTGGGGGGCCCAGAGGGATGGAGTCAGGTGTAGGACACTTGGCTGTTGTTGGGGTATTTGAGATGGAGAGGGTATCAATAGTTGACTCTGATCTCCTCTCAAACCTACAATAAAACACATTCAGGTCATCTGCCAGTTGCCAATTCCCTTTACCAAGGGAGGGAGGGCGCTATCTAACAAAATGAAATTCAATGGTGAAAAAAGCAAGGTTCTACATTTAGGCAAGAAAAACCAAATGCACAGATATAGTATAGGGGGTACCTTGCTCAATAATAATAACTGTGAGAGGGTCCTCGGAATCCTAATGGACAATCACCTAAATCTGAGTCAGCAGTGTGCTTCAGCTGCCAAAAAGGCCAACACAGTGCTAGGCTGCATTAACAGAGGGATAGAATCAAGACCACGTGACGTGTTAATACCACTTTACAATGCCTTGGTAAGGCCACACTTGGAATACTGCATCCAGTTTTGGTCACCTTGATGTAAAAAAGATTTTTAGACTGTAGAAAGAGTACAGAGAAGAGCAATAAAGATGATTAGGGGAGTGGAGGCTAAAGCATATAAGGAACTGTTGCTGGAATTGGGTATGTCTAGTTTAATGAAGAGAAGGACGAGGGGGGACATGATAGCAGTGTTCCAATATCTCAGGGGTTGCCACAAAGAAGACGGTGTCAAGCTATTTTCCACAGCGCCTGAAGGCAGGACAAGAAGCAACAGGTGGAAACTAAGCAAGGAGAGAAGCAACCTAGAACTAAGGAGAAATTTCCTGACAGTTAGAACAATTAACCAGTGGAACAACCTGCCTCCAGAAGCAGTGAATGCTCCAACACTGGAGGTTTTTAAGAAGAAACTGGACAGCCATTTGTCCGAAATGGTATAGGGTTTCCTGCCTGAGCAGGGGGTTGGACTAGATGACCTCCAAGGTCCCTTCCAACTTTACTATTATTATATTATTAAGATTAAATTCTCCTGTGCGGAGTGCATGCATCTCATAATCACATCTCACCGCACTGTACCGATCCTTGACAAATCGTCATGTCAAATACAAATACGTCACATCACATGCAACAAATCGGCTCGCCATCGATAGAATATGGAGATTTACAGATTAGTCTTCAAATATCGAAAAGGAGGACATGTAGGAGGACACTTTTCGAGAGAGGACAGAACTTACAAAAGGAGGACTGTCCTCCCTAAAGGAGGACGATTGGTCACCTTACTGTCAGAGGCTCCAGATGATTTATAATATTTTAAATCATATAGCAATTTATTTACGTTTTGGAAAAATGTATAGCTGCTTATCTCAAGACAAGTTACAAGAACAACAAAAGCATAAGAAATTTATTATGTGTAATCACTAGGGAGGAAAGACAATCTGGGAAGCCCCCTAAAATCCCAAAGGAATGAGCCTCAAGACAGAAGTTGTAACCCCAACATCTATATATAATTCTCATTGAAAGAATTATTTCTTCATTTTTCTTTATTAAAATGTTCCTGATGTTCAGACACCAGGCTAGTTAGGACTGGGCTGATTTTGCTTCATCCAGACACTTCCTGTCCTCCTGAGGTTTTGAACGTAGATTGGGGCCTGATGCCACGATCGCAAATGCCTTTTCCAGAGACGTTGTACCAAGCCTATTCATCTCTCATCCACCTAATACTTGGCCTATTTATCTACCATCTGGATCTGTCTGGTTGGGGCTTTTTACATTCTTTTTTTTTTTTTACTTTCAGAAGAAATATAACACACATCAAGCTTCAGAAATATTAAGCAGAAAGCTGATGGAAATCAGAATCAATCATCCAGATATTTCCCAGGAGACCTAATATGCATGGAAAATGTCAAGTCACTTAAGTAATTTGCAGAAGCTTAGTTCCACGGTGATTCTGTTTGATAAGAATGGGTATTAATGCTACCTCAGTGAGCCTTTTTATGTCCTGCCTGATTTATAGGTGATTTCGATAAAAATCACTGAATTGAAAGTGATAAACTAGCAGGAAGAAGATACCAACTGTTTGTGTTCTGGTTTCTGACACTGAATCTGATTTTCCGGCTATCACTGTCATCCTCTTGGCCTTCTAATTATGCTAACAAAGAACCTGAATACTGATTAATATCAAAATATGGCAATTCAAGATTGCATTGTAGGATGTGGTGTTAAGAGGACGAAATGTTGCATAATTTTTATTCCTGTTATAATTTTAGGAAATGTTCATCATATAAATATAATTCACTTGATACTTTGACTTTTTTCCTTTTTAAAAAAAAAACAGGACTGATTCACTAACAATATCCAAAACATGTTCCTGCCTGCTTGTTTTTTCCCTCTTTTGTTTCAAGCTCCATGCTGAGACCAAGGGATAAAAATTACTACCTCATTCTGAGTTGCAAAAACAAAATAAAATAAGTTGCTTAGATGCTCCTTCCTCGGTCCACTTCAAAATGTTATATGCAAATATTTTAAAAATTCCAATGCCCTGTTAGATGAATCTGAAAAATCATTATATGATCTTTCCCTCTAGAGATCAGAATCCAGGAAGGTAAGAAGCCTTTAAGATGAAGGAATGAACTGCCTACAAACTCCACAGAGCTACAGTGCTTGCACATGTCTATATGTGCACACACATGTTTAAAGACCTACAGTAGTTTACTAAGGTAAGATTTACTATATCACAGCTAAACCAGAAGTCGTTTCAGGCAATGGAGCTACCTATTGAGATACAATAAATAATTCTTTCAAATGCAGGAGATTACCTACAGAGATGAAATCAGTGCAACAGAGCCCTTTGCTTTGTAGACCTCCCTATATTCACTCTCCTCAATGTTTCCCCCCATCCCCTAGTGCAGTGGTTCTCAACCTTTTTAATGCCGCGACCCCCAACCGGTCGTAAGTTGAGGATTACTCAACTGGTTGTAAGTCAAGGACTACTCAACTAGTGCAGCACCATTTGCAGAATGGGACTTTTGGCGGGCTCAGCAGGACAGAGACAGCCTGGACAATTCCTATTGGCTTTTGAAAGCCAATAGAATTAGACTCTATTCAAGAGAGTCTATTCTATTGGCTTTCAAAAGCCAATAGAATAAAAGAGAGTAGCACAGCTAAGGAAAAGGGGGAAAAATGGTGGACTGCATTGTTTGGTGACCCCTGTGAAATGGTCATTTGACCCGACCCATAGGTTGAAAACCACTGCCCTAATGCCTTTTCAGTAGGAATGTGAATCCCCCCCCCACATTGCTTTTTTCATCTTTTTTTTTATTCCTGCTTCTTGTTTTTTTTCCCCTTATTTTTTTGTCCCCACCCCCTTTTTTTCTTTTTTCCTCTTTCCCATATCTGATGTTTATACAGCTTCTCTTTTGTTACTTCTTTGATTCTTGTCTATGGAGATTCTCAGTCATCCAGGTTATGGTTGTCCCAAAGGTGCTTTTTCGAAAGGCAACTGGATTTCCTTTGTTTTTGCTGAAAATGTTTTGCTTCTTATCCCAGAAGCTTCTTCATTTCTTAACTGAAGAAGCTTCTTCGGTGAGAAGCAAAACATCTTCAAGGAAAAACAAAGTAAGTCCAGTTGTCTTTTGAAAAAGCACCTTTGGAACAGTTCTTAGATTCTTCTTAGGAAACTCTAGGAATTTAGAAGTGGTGTCCACAGGGAATGATAAAGTCTAAGTCTCCTGATGGACAATCACTTAAGTATGAGCCAGCAATATATATTTTTCCTCACTTAAATTCTGGAGCATTCTTCTAAATTTTGTACTTAGGGAATAAGATTCAATACACATTTGTGCTGCAGCATCTTCTACATCAGTGGTTCTCAACCTTTCTAATGCCGCGACCCCATAATATAGTTCCCCATGTTGTGGTGACCCCCAATCACTTATACATCACCGGGTGTCAGGGGCATGGCCAAAGAAAAGAGGGAAAAAATGGCGGACAGCCTTATTTGGCGACCCCCGTGAAATGGTCATTCGACCCCAAATGGGGTCCCGACCCACAGGTTGAGAACCACTGTTCTACATCACTGTCTGAAACTGAAACAATGATTGTACTCACAGAATATGCTAAACATACTTTGATCACTGAAGCATTGAATGTGCCATAAAATATCCAGTAAGCAATGTAATCACCATTTAAGTATGAACCAGCAGTGTGCTGTGGCTATCAAAAAAGCAAATGCAGTCTTAGGCTGCTTCAACTGAGGAATAGTATCAAGATCACATTAAGTAGTAGTGCTGCTTTATATTACACTACTACATTTTTTCTTCTTCCCTGTTCCCCCCCCCCACTTTTCCATTATGTTCATTTTTATTTCTTTCTCTATATTTTATATTTTGATAAAGTAATAACATCTGTGACTCCAAATAACTAGATAGTATACTTAGTCTTAGGACTAAGTATACTATCTAGTTATCGGGACATCTATCTAGTTATTAGGACATCGACATCTTAGGAATCAGCGAACTAAAATGGACAGGAATGGGTGAATTTAATTCAGATGACCATCAGGTATATTACTGTGGGCAAGAATCCCTCAGAAGAAATGGAGTAGCCATCATAGTCAATAAAAGAATAGGAAAAGCAATACTGGGATACAATCCCCAAAATGACAGAATGATTTCAATTCGAATCCAAGGCAAACCATTCAATATCACAGTAGTCCAAATCTATGCCCCAACCACTGGTGCTGAAGAGGATGAAATTGACCGGTTCTATGAAGCCCTACAGCACCTTATAGAATTAACACAAAAAAATGATGTCCTTATCATCATGGGGGACTGGAATGCTAAGGTAGGAAGCCAAAAGATAACCAGAATAACAGGCAAGTTTGGCCTTGGAGAACAAAATGAAGCAGGGCACAGGCTCATAGAATTTTGTCAAGAGAATACGATGGTCATAACAAACACTCTTTTCCAACAACCCAAGAGACGGCTCTACACATGGACATCACCAGACGGTCAACATAGAAATCAGATCGACTATGTGCTCTGCAGCCAAAGATGGAGAAGCTCTATACAGTCAGTAAAAACAAGACCAGAAGCTGACTGTGGCTCAGATCATGAGCTTCTCGTTGCAAAATTTAGGCTTAAATTGAAAAAAGTAGGGAAAAGCACTAGGCCACTCAGGTATGAACTAAATCATATTCCTGCTGAATATACAGTAGAGGTGGCAAATAGATTTAAGGAATTAGATCTGATAGACAGAGTGCCTGAAGAACTATGGATGGAAGTTCACAACATTGTACAAGAGGTAGCAACTAAAACCATCCCAAAGAAAAAGAAATGCAAGAAAGCAAAATGGCTGTCTGAGGAAGCTTTGCAAATAGCTGAGGAAAGAAGGGAAGCGAAAGCAAAGGAGAAAGAGAAAGATACACCCAATTGAATGCAGAATTCCAGAGAATAGCTAGAAGAGATAAGAATGCCTTCTTAAATGAACAGTGCAAAGAAATCGAAGAAAACAACAGAATAGGGAGGACCAGAGATCTCTTCAAGAAAATTGGAGATATGAAGGGAATGTTTCATGCAAAGATGGGCATGATAAAGGACCATAATGGCAGAGACCTAACAGAGGCAGAAGAGATTAAGAAGAGATGGCAAAACTACACAGAAGAACTGTACAAGAATGAGCTTAACGTCCCAGATAACCACAATGAGATGGTCACTGACCTCGAACCAGACATCCTAGAATGTGAAGTGAAATGGGCCTTAGAAAATCTGAGCAACAACAAAGCTAGTGGAGGTGACAGTATTCCAGCTGAGCTATTCAAAATCTTAAAAGACAATGCAGTAAAAGTGCCACACTCAATTTGCCAGCAAATTTGGAAAACTCAACAGTGGCCACAGGATTGGAAAAGGTCAGTTTACATTCCAATTCCAAAGAAAGGCAATGCCAAAGAATGTTCAAACTATCGCACCATTGCACTCATTTCACATGCTAGTAAAGTTATGCTTAAAAGCCTACAAGCTAGACTCCAGCAGTATGTGGATCGAGAACTACCAGAAGTACAGGCAGGATTTCGAAGAGGCAGAGGAACTAGAGATCAAATGGCCAACATACGCTGGATCATGGAGAAAGCTAGGGAGTTCCAGAAAAACATCTACTTCTGCTTCATTGATTATGCTAAAGCCTTTGATTGTGTGGATCACAACAAATTGTGGCAAGTTCTTAAAGAGATGGGAATACCAGACCATCTTATTTGTCTCTTGAGAAACCTATATGCGGGTCACGAAGCAACAGTGAGACTGGACACGGAACCACTGATTGGTTCAAAATTGGAAAAGGAGTCCGGCAAGGCTGTATACTGTCGCCCTGCCTATTTAACTTATATGCAGAGCACATCATGAGAAAGGCAGGGCTAGATGAATCAAAAGTTGGAATTAAGATTGCCTGGAGAAATATAAACAACCTAAGATATGCAGATGATACCACTCTAATGGCAGAAAGTGAAGAGGAACTAAAGAGCCTCTTGATGCGGGTGAAGAAGAGTGCAAAAGTTGGCTTGAAACTCAACATTAAGAAAACCAAAATCATGGCATCCGGCCTTCTCAATTCCTGGCAAATAGATGGGGAAGAAATGGAGGTAGTGACATATTTTATTTTTCTAGGCTCAAAGATCACCTCAGATGGGGACTGCAGCCAAGAAATTAAAAGACGCTTGCTCCTGGGGAGGAAAGCTATGGCAAATCTAGACAGCATACTAAAAAGCAGAGACATCACCCTGCCAACAAAAGTGCGTATAGTCCAGGCCATGGTTTTCCCAGTTGCACTGTATGGCTGTGAAAGTTGGACCATAAGAAAGGCTGAGCGCAAAAGAATTGAGGCCTTTGAACTATGGTGCTGGAGAAGACTCCTGCGAGTCCCTTGGACTGCAAGGCGTTAAAACCGGTCAGTCCTAGAAGAGATCAACCCCGACTGCTCTTTAGAAGGCCAGATCCTGAAGTTGAAACTCAAATACTTTGGCCACCTAATGAGAAGGAAGGACTCAATGGAGAAGGGCCTAATGCTGGGAAAGATTGAGGGCAATAGAAGAAGGGGACGACAGAGAATGAGATTGCTGGATGGAGTCACTGAAGCAGTAGGTGTGAATTTAAATGGACTCCAGAAGATGGTAGAGGACAGGAAGACCTGGAGGAACGTTGTCCATGGGGTCGCGATGGGTCGGACACAACTTCGCATTTAACAACAACAACATACTTAGCCTAATGAAAGAAGGACAAGGGATGACATAAGAGCAGGCTCCCAGTACTTGAAAGGCTCTCACAGAGGAGAGAGGAGTTGACCTATTTTCCAAAGCATCTGAGGCAGTGGTGGGATTCAGCTAGTTTGCACCACTTCAGCAGAACCAGTAGCTAATTTTTTGTTGCCCAGGCCCAGAATGGACTTCTGGAAGTGGCATCCACACAGAGAACTGGTTGTTCACATATTTGAATCCCACTACTGATCTGAGGGCAGAACAAGAAGTAATGGGTGGAAGCTTATCAAAGAGAGATCCAATCTAGAAATAACAAGAAATTTCTTGACAGTGAGAACAGTTGATCAGTGGAACAGCTCGCCTCCAGAGGTTGGGGTGGTCCATCGCTGGAGGATTTTAAGAAGAAATCAGTCTGTGATTTGTCCAGAATAATATAGGGTGTCTATTTGAGCAGGGAGTTGATTAGAAGACCTT